TTCTGTACACCTGAAACTAACAATAAAAAAATATAATAATAATAAAAAAAAAGAAATCCTGCTACAAGATACACAAGAGAGTGTACACCATAACATCTTGGTCTTGGTGGGGGGTGGGGGGTGGGGAGAAAGGGGAGAGAGAGAGAGAGAGAGAGAGAGAGAGAGAGAGACATGGAAAACAAACTGTAGCCCTTAATTCATTATATATAAAGCAAGCAAATTTGGGCATATTAGCTGCTCAGAGAAATAGGTCAAAAACAAGAGAAAACCAATGAACACAAGAACAAACTGCAATGAACACTTCTTTTGCCAGAGGTGAAATACCCTTTGTTTAAAATTTTAGTTACAACTGATAATGAGATTTGGCATGTCTTATTAATGATAAGGCCTCCTTTGGGGACCTCGAATGACCTTTAGAGGCCAATTAGCTATCCTGCTTCTAAAAAAAAAATTTCACTAAACTTCTTAGTGAGAAGTTTGGATCAGGTTACTGCAGCCTGCAAAGGTGGCTCATTTGCTGAGTCTATAAAGTTCTCATGCAATCTTCACCACTCCAGACTCATGATTCAGCATCCGCAGTGCTACCGGCACTAGCACAGCTGACAGAAGCTGTGGTTTGTACAAATGCCAGGAAGCACCGTTCCTGGCTTGATTTAGCATTTCTGTTCACTTTCTACAGCGTTAACTTTTAGGGAGATTCAACAACCCCCCCAGATGCAGCCTAAGGCAAGAATGGACCGACTAGTAAAAATAAAATATGGACTTTCTTAATCTGGGGCAGAAAGTTCAAAGGTTTGGAACACTCATCAAATTATCAATGTGCCCACTGTTAATTGGGCGGTTATAAATCCTGAGCAATGCCATGGCCCTCTGGGAAGTATTTGCAATTAAGACCACCTATAAATACTTGTTGCGAGGCTTTGGACTGACAAACCCAGTTCTCTCTAGTAAGCCCACACACGAAAGGTCCACTTTTGTGACAATGCTTGTGAACAATTTAAAAAAAAGCAATCTGAAAATGTTTCCCTACTTCGTTTTGCTTCCCTCTGTGTCGTCTCCCATGCCCGAGGTATCCGTGGACACTGCTCTGGCTCAATGGCACTCTGTGGACTTCCTACAGATCAGAGTCCTGGATGTAGCCATTCCACAGATATTTACCCTGACTGGGGGAGAACACTGTGTTCCTGACATACAAATAATCTCTTTCACATTTTAATCTAAGTCCACTTATTGCTTATTGATCCTCCATGAAGAGTACAAAATCTCCAACTAAAGGAAATCAAGTACCCAATTACCTTTATATTCCAACGCTTGGTGGCCCTGAGCAGGCTTATTTGCCTTCTCCCTGCCTCCAATTCTTCCTTGTACAACAGGAATAATAATATCTTCCTCACTGAATTATTGTGAAGATTAAGAGGGAGAGTGCTCCCTCAATCTTCCTTCCCCACAGTCCCCCTCCCCCGTACTCTGCCATTCTCAGGCACCAAAGTCACTTGGACACTTGGACTAAATACTCATGCTAATAGCCCATCCAGGCTTATCGTTCAGATTCTAGGACCATGAGGCTGGTTATCTACTACTTCATGTTCATATGGAGCCCTGTATACACCATTCACTTACATAACATACTGTATGTATAACCAAAACAATAAAAATTTCTTTATTGGCCTAAATATTCAGAACCTCTGTTATCGCAAGTATTTATAAGTTTTAATAAGTTTATCTTAAATATATTTTAAATTTAAAAATCATGCCCTGTATAAGAGGACAGATGAGTTTATTGAGAGAGACATCAAAACGATGCAGCGTGCTCTGAACAGTTCTATGATTAAGTATATTTATGCTGCAGGATTTCCGTGCACTGGCGACCGTACCTTAGAGTACAGTGGTTTCCCGTTTTTGTAGTGAATCTCCACATAATCAGAAGACAGCAAACCACTACAAAGAAAAGAAAACAGAGTCACTTCTGCATCCAAGACATTTGGAGGTTTAAAAATAATCAGCTCAATAAATGGATGTGAGGGGCATGTACACCACAAACAAACAGTGACAGTTCAAGTAAGTACAAAAGAGGTTATCATCAAGTCTCCAGTGTTATCCAGTAACAAATCATTCCTCAATCTGTTGAAAAACACAAGATATAGATAATTTAAGATATAGATAATCATCATTTGATTGCTATGTTAATTAATACGGAACAAATAAAACAAGATAACAGGAGGAAACAGGCCCTCTAAAATCCCACTATAATGCTCTAAATAATTGGAATCTCATAAAACATAATCACTGAGAAAGAGTACAGAATAAAGGCCAGTTGTATCAATACTTTAGGCTTTTTAGGTCACATGAACTCTGTCACAACTACTCAGCTCTGCTATTGTATCACAAAACTGTAAACAAATGAGCATGGCTGTGTCCCAATAAAATTTTATTTATGGCCACTGAAATTTTAATTTCACATAATTTTCACGCAACATGAAATATTATTCTTTTTTAATTGTTTAAAACTATTTAAAAATAAACACCCTTAGCTTGAGAACTGTACAAAAAACAGGTAATGCTGATTTGGCCCAAGGGCCATACTTTACCAACTCCTAAAATAAAATAAGTTAAGAATATAGGTTTTGAAGTCAGACAGTGTAGGATTTAAGCCTAGCCCAGCCCATTAATAGTGGTGTGACCATGGACAAGTTACCCAACTCAGCCTCTATATGAGTCACATGGAGACAAAGAAAGAGTATGAATCTCACACGACATTGTTAGGATTAAATGAAAACACACACACGTAATGCAATGCTTAGCCCAGAACTCAGCACTGAGCACACACTCAATAATGGGCATTGAGGCTGTTTCTGTATTTATTTTAACTCATCTTCTTCAAACACACCTCTCCCTACACAATGTGGAAAATACAAAATATGAGTCTCTGAAAGAGCCCTGGACTGTGAGAGCACTGGGGTTCCTGAGAGCACTGGGCTGCCACTAGAAACAATGATAACATCTGATAACTCACATTTCCTGAACACTTACTATATCCTAGGCACTGTTCTAAAGACCAGAAGAATATTAACTCATATCATCCTAATGATAACTGAAGGACAACAGTAGGTTCTACTATGGGCCAGATGTGTGCCCTACATTTAGGTCTCCATTCCCTCTTCTGCAAAAGGAAAGCCTGGAGCAGACGATTCCTCAGGTGCCCCTCCTGCTCTGACACCTTATCTTCTATAATGCTGCCTAATAGTAGGTTTTCTTATTCGAAAATCTTGACACTAGCTCTTCAACAGAAGTATGGGAGGACTCAGTGATTTTGCATCATTTTGAGAGTTGCACCTGATGCGGTTCTAATACGACCCAATGCGGAGGGCCGGGGCAGTCTTAGCGCCAGTCAGCAGGGTGTGTGGAGGCTGCGTGTGTGCACCCAGCACGGATTCCTGTATGAGCCGAAGGACAAGCTGTACAACGGAAGTGAGGCAGGGGCTGGCGCCTTAGGCAGGTTTTTCTATTGGAATTACTAATCAAATGTGTATCTATTGATGATTGTATATTTGAAACTAAATTATGCTAAATCTACTCATTCCCTTTAAATATATATGTGTGTGTGTGTGTATATATATATGTGTGTATGTGTACATATAAATACACACACACATATATATATATATATATATACATATGTATACATATACATATATATTGGGTCGTCAGGAAAGTCATGACGTATTTTTCTATGTTTTTCAATGCAAAAATGCATCATGACTTTCCCGACAACCCTATATGTGTGTGTGTGTGTGTGTGTGTGTGTGTGTGTGTGTGTGTGTGTATATATATATATATATATATATGTAATAGTCAAAGTAATAACAATTCTCCACTCTATATACTCGGGAATACCTGACAGGGTGCAGAGACTTCTTTCATTTCTAGTTAATTAAGTCTGCTGCCAGCACTGTGAATGCACATAAACAGGGCTGTTAATAGTAACATGTCTCTGAAGAATGTGTCCGCAACACCAAGAGCCAGAGACGTTTCAATAACTGCATTCTAATTACTTCTCTCTACAGATAATTCATTATTTCCAAAATTCTCAACCACATAATTACTGGAGCACGCCTAAGAGCTGACTAGAAAAGTCTCCTTTTTATTTATTTTTTCACTATTACTTTTGCTTGTAATTACAAAGGTAGACAGTACCGTATTCTAACCATTATTGCCAAATCTGATAAAGGTCACTTTAATTATCCTATTGCTGCCTTTGTAAAGGGCCTCTTCCCCCGCTCCCATGGAGCTAATGGACATACCTATTTCTATTGCCTCCTACATTTGAGAAACTTAAAGAAGAAAAATAGCTACTTTTCCAGATGCCTGTGACAAACACTGAGATAGACATAAAATAGCACTATACCCGCATGTTCCCCATCACCGCACCACTCCACTCTCCCACCTCCTATAAATGTCTCCATTTGCCACAGCAATCCCTCCTTTAAAACTGTTTCCTTTGCTTATCACAGTGTCTCTAGCACCTGGCATGATGCCTAGCGCATAGTAAGTCTAATCCACATTCGCTGAGTGAGCAAACACCTACCCACATGTACTAGATGCCAGGCCCACACCATGTGCTAGGAAGTTGGGATGAAGAATGTAATTCTCTGAAATTGAAAATAAGCAAATCAGCGCAAATGCATGACCTTAGTCATCTCATCCTAAAATATCTTTGTAATCTCCCTTAAAGTGAACTAATGCCAACAGAAATGTAATCTAATTAATTATAAAAGTCTTGAAGTAATTTTGAAATAGGAGACCTTTCAGTGATGGACAAGTACCACTGGAAAGAAAGAACTGAATAGTTAATTTGCAGTGGTGCGTCTCCAGCTAGCCCCAGCAGAGATGGACCAGGTAATTTGTATCTGTGTGTGCCTGAAGGTGAGTTGTCTGGCCATCTCTGCCTGCCCGTGCACTGCAAGGCCTTTCCTCCCCTCTGCTCTCTGTGGTTTCCCTAGTAGTATTTCCTGTTGGAAACAAAATGTTCTGACATGCCAATACTGATCCATTTAGCAGTTATGGTCCCAAGCATACACTGTCATTTCACTTTGTTGATCAGCCAATGGGGATTTGGTTAGTTCTGAGTTGTCTAATAAATTGCAGGAACAGATAAAAGGGAATTTCTGAACATGCTAAGTTATGAAATAACATCCTTTTTCTAATCATTTAAGTTACAGGAAACCTATCTACACCATGGCTACCATAGTGCTTCTCATGCAAGTTATCTGATGAAAGAGTGACCTTTGGAAGTAAAGAGATAAATGTAGGGTGGAAGTTCCAGGCAAGGTGGAAGGAAAGGGAAGAATGGAATAAGGACACTCCTGAACCTACTTACTCTGCACCTTCATGATCAATCTGCACCATGGAGGTTGTGAAATAACACAAACTGTAGAGTCAGACTGAATGTGATTGTACTCAAAATATGAAGGACAAGGGTAAGCACCTTGAAGATGCTGGAATGGTGAGACTGTTAAAACATAGCAAATGAGCCAAGAATGAGATCAATACAGAGAACTGTGGCAGAAATATTAATAATCTGTGTATCCACCATATCCCATTTCACTTTCCCCTTCCTGGCACAGTAAGACTACATTTCACAGCTTCCCCAGAAGTCAGGTTGGGGCCAAGAAATTGAATCGTGGCTCATGAAATATGGGGAGAGGTGATGTCTGCCACTCTAGTGTGACCATTAAAATCCATGCATAGATTACTCAAGCTCTTGCTTTCATGTCATCCCTGGAAGCCACATGACCCAAATGGCATTGCTACAAGACTGATGCAGCCTAGTTTCCTACATCATTGTTTGGAGAAGTGTCTTCTAGGAGAGCTACTCAACTTGTATTAGACCATAAAGTTAATTTTGGTACATGGTGACAGATAGCAGTCTAGTTTCATTCTTTTGCATGTGGCTTTCCAATTCTCCCAGCACCATTTATTGAAGAGGCTTTCTTTTCTCCATTGTATGTTTTTGGCTACTTCGTTGAAAACTATCTGTCTATATTTATGTGGGTTTATTTCTGGCTTATCAATTCTATTCTATTGGTCGGTGTGTCTGTTTCTCTGCCAATACCATGCTGTTTTAATAATTGTTGTTTTATAGTACAAGCTGAAGTCAGGGAGTGTGATACTTCCACAGCATTATTCTTTTTTCTTAGCATTGCTTTGGCTATTTGGGGTCTTTTGTGGTTCTCACACAACTCAACAACAACAACAAAAAACAAACAATCCAATTTTAAAAATGGGTAGAGGATATGAATAGACATTTCTCCAAAAAGGACATACATATAGCCAATAGACATATGAAAAGATGCTTAACATCACTGACCATCAGAAAAATGCAAATAAAAACCACAATGCGGTATCACTTCACACCAGTTGGAATGGCTATTATCAAAACAAATAATAAGTGTTAGGAAGGCAGTGGAGAAAAAGGAACTTTCATACACTGTTGGTGGGAATGCAGATTGGTGCAGCTGTTATGGAAGGCAGTGTGGAGGTTCCTCAAACAATTAACAATAGAATTGCTATATGACCCAGCAATTCCTCTCCTGGGTATATACCCCAAAAATCTGAAAACAGTTATCTGTAAAGATATATGTGCTCTGATGTCCACTGCAGCTTTATTTACAGTGGCCAAGACATGAAAACAACCAAAGTGTCCTTAGATAGATGACCGGATAAAAAAGATGTGGTATATATACACAATGGAATACTACTCTGCCATAAGAAAAGATGAAATAGTGCCATTTGTGACAACATGGATGGATCTTGAGATGATTATGCTAAGCGAAATAAGTCAGACAGAAAAAGCTGAGAACCATATGACTTCGCTGATATGTGGGATATAAAACAAAAAGCAACAAAGGAAGAAGACAAACAAATAAAGAAATAAAACT